CGTCAGACATTCGAGCCGAGCGAGGCCTTGTCCGTGGATTCGGCGTCTTAGATTTGAGGTTTGATGTTTAAGGTTAAAGCTAAGAATACAAGTGTCTAACACAGCACAGTGTACAGGACTTGCGGTCAGTTTGAGGCTTTGCAAGGACGTCTCGGTTTGCGCAGAATGTCTACTGGGGGCTTCGGCTTTGGATTGTCCGAGTTTCTGGCTGTCGGGTTTCGGACGCATTTCGGGCAGTTTAGGGTTTGGGAGTTCGAGGCAAAGCCCTCCGGCTAAGACATCGGATGCGCCAAGTCAGACTGCCGAATGCATCTTTCAAGACAAAGTACAACGACCAATCCCCATGCAAGATGGTGAATACCCCATGCAAAATGTCGTGCGCATGGTTCCACTCGAGTTGCCCCTGTAGCAAGGAGCAGCAAGGTTACCATGTCGATACAAAAACGGTTAAAGTGGAGACCCCCGAAATCTTCGAGCCAAGGCTGGATACATCTGTCTCACCTGGCAACACCTAAACGCCAAAACCTTACTTCTTCGCGTTCACGAGTTGCTCTTGCGTCACCCACAACTACAATCTGTATCCCAAACCGCTAACACTGTAACTCGCCTCGGCATGGGGAGGGAGGCAGTCCGTCCGAGTCGCCAAGCCACTCGACGCCGGATATCTGTTTCGAGATTCAAGGTATCGGGTTGGAATTGGAGCAATAAAACCGAAACTTTGTTTTACTTGCCTCAAGTTCTGCAGAAGTTGACATGGGTTGATTATCAAGGCGCTTCTCCAATGGGTTCACATGCAGAAAGCCTCGCTGAAGATTCACAAAACCGGGGATCAGGGGATAGAATCATGTTCGGGCATGGGGTCTAATTGTGCAGAAACATGCAGAAACCCACGAAGAGGAAGCACACTTACAGCCACAGTGATCGCACTGGAGCTGGTTCAGGCCTTATGAGTGCAGCAAATGGCAACTCGCGTCTAATGCACATGGTAAGGACTTTAACGCATGCCAGTCACGCCAATAGTTGCAATTCAGTTTGTCCAGTGAATTAGAAAAGTTTCCAAGGTGCTGTCCCTCGTCAATATTCTGTTTGGTTCTTAGTGACTTGGAAAAGCCCTCCACTAGTCTTTGTCATTGTTGCTGACTCTGTCGGTTTTATAAACATTTTAAATCCTAAACTAACACGGGTACTGAGCTGCTGCACAAGAAACATCAGCTAAACAATTGGCTGTCCACAACTGGATATATTGTTCAACACAAGGATCAATCCGAGTGTCTTTGCAAACTGCGTTGCTGTTGCAACTGCAGATGTGAGATCGAAGAAGATAGCTGACACATACTTTCATGTACCGTGCACAAGGTCGTTTATTCTGGTTCAAGACCAACCTGAATTAAACAATATTGTCTCAGCAAAACCGCATGGACCATTCAAACGATGAGCCAATGAACGCAGATCGCTCGTTCCGAGCATGTTCAATGTTGCATGCTCGGTCAGTTCTCCGCGGTGCTCGTTATGTCTTCAAGCTTCCAGACACACGGTTCTAGTGTACAAATATTGTAGCATTCCTGCGCTGTAGAAGCTGCGAAGACTTCTGCCACATGAACTTTGTGCTTCCGACTCAACCTAGCTGGGCCTGCCAAGTACTATATGCATTGGATCATTTGGGACTGTTCTTGGTGTGCGATACTCCGAATCATCGCATCCGGCATGAATCGAACAGGCCTCGCTTCGACTTCGGTAAATCACGTGGTCGCCAACACGACAGCTGATCGTAGTCCCCAGGTGACGTGCAGATGACGGAAGCATGTCGATGCGCTTTGTATACCTGCGAAAATAGCCATACACTTTGAAAGCAAACGACATGTGAAGACATATGAAGTGTGGCCCTAGATAGTTGGCTATATGTATTTATGGTATGACTTCCATATCAGGCTAGATGCACTTCGTTACGACTTTAAGCGCTAACATCAGCATATGCGTGACCAACGACATGAACATATGTCTCTGAGTGCATGAAGAGGTATGTGATTTTTTCGCGGCTCCCTGTGAGTTTTGCTTGATTTCTCTAACCGTGTTGTGACACTGTGGGGCATGCACGGACGCCATGCTTGATATTGCTCTGGGCATCTCGACAGTAGCGTTCGGTCTTAAGAGAGTTTGAAGGTACTGCGACTAGCTGATGGTCTAAACCCTAAACCTTTAAAGTAGCATCGCGAAAGTGCAGCCCTGAGATGTGCAAGGAATGCTCACAGCACTAGCCGAAGTCCGCAAGCAGTCATGGAGTTCGGTTTGGGGATTAGGGTATTTAGGGTCCAAGGACACTTTCTCTGTTTTTGTTGGCATTGCGCTTTGTCGACTCGATCTTGGCAATAGGTTGGTTTATACGCCAAGCGAACAACTTAAGCTTCCCATTTAAGCGGCTTAAGTAAAGCATCTACGCTCTCCCACTAAGCTACCGTTTGTGTACACTAAACCCTAAACCCTAACCTAAGCCCTAAACCCTAACCTAAACCCTGAACCCTAACCTAAACCCTAAACCCTAAACCCTAACCTAAACCCGTAACCTAAACCCTAAACCCTCGAGGTTTTGGGCCGGGATGATTCATGTCTTTCCAAGACCAGGCACCGGGAGCCGAATCCAAACTCAAAGCCGCAAACCCTAAACCCTAAAGCCGGAATAACCAATAACAACAACACACACACACACACATGTATGTGTATATATATATACACACACACGCGTAACTCTCTCTCTCTCACTATGTATATATATATGCATATGTATACATGTATAAAAATGTGTGTATATATATACATATATTATATATATATGTAATATAGCAGCTCCGGGCTTAGTGAAAAGAACGGGTTAGCTTTCGCGCAGGTGTGCCCGCGGTGGATGCGGGAAGGCTTCCCCAATAACTGCTGTGATGGATCTCTGAATCCCGCCAGTATCAAAGCGTTTTGTCCACGGTGGTCTCCTGGATTTTGTAGTGTCCTTTCGGCTCTCCTGGTGGTGTTGTGGCGACGCGGCGGTTTCCTGGTGGTGTCTTGCTGGTCGTGGTCGTGGTCGTGGTCGTTGTGGTCGTGGTCGTCATGGTGGTCATGAGGTTTGTCATGGTCGCCATGGTGCTCTACCACTGTTTGGGGAAGCTACGCTGGCATGCTACTCGCCAAACCCTAGGCGCTAGGCCCAAAACCCTAAATCCAGCACCCCTACAATTAAATAAAACCCCGAAGTTGAAAACCCCAAATCTGACCCCGACGTTACGAGTAAGCCTTGAAAACCCAAACCAACCTCGCTGAGGTTGGTCACAAGATCCGCAAGGTGGATCTCCGAAGCGCGGTCTGTCGCCCGACCTCAGCTCTTTCTCGAGGTTTCCGACAACGACCAATTTTGAGGGCTTGGGCTCTAAACTCTAAACAACAATGCTATCCAGGACCCCCCCCTCAAAAAAATCTAAGCTCTGAACACCCCCAAAAAAACCTTCAACCAAAGCTCAGATCTGAAATGGAGTGAAACTCAAGGGACAAGTGTTCGCTTCAGGATGGACTCGAATGTGATTTCTGGTGGTTTTTTGCACCTGAGGCTGTTCATTTACTTCACGGATCAGGGTCTCTTCGACTAGAACCTACAGGGCTTGAAGGCTGTTTTTAGCTTAGGGTCGGTGCTTCGGTCTTGGGGTTTGGTGCCCGGTCTGCATAGGGTTTAGAGTTTAGGGTTCAGGGTTTTTTGGGTTTGGGGTTCAGGGTTCAGGGTTTGGGGCTTTGGAGTTTGGGTTTAGGTTTTGGTTCAGGGTTTAGGGTTTTGGATTGTGGGTCGAGATGTCGGTTTAGGGTTTGGGTTTTAGGGTTTGGGATTTTATGGTCTCGGGTTCAGGGTTTAGGATTTTATGCGCAAGGTTTAAGGTTGGGATTCGGCATGATGAGTCTTGGGTCATGATTGGGGTTCAGGGGAGTTCGGGTGCAGTAGGGGTTTAGGGTTTAAGGTTTAAGGGTTTAGGGTTTGGGGTTCATGATGTGCTGTATGGATCGCTGCAGACCCTTACAGAAGCCTTTCATACGGTTGATGATATCAATCCTGCATTACCTTAAGGCCCCCTAAACTATGGGAACTCTGGGTACATATTCCTTGTTAGGCGTAATGCAGGATTTACCTGAAAGGATCCCTAAACTATGGGACTTATGGTATATATTCCTTGTTATGGGTAATGTAGGATTTACCTTATGGGACCCCTAAACTATAGGAATTCTTGGTATAGATTCCTGTGTAGGTGTAAGGCAGCATTTATATCGCCAGCCCCTAAACCCTAACCCCAAAACTAACCCTAAACCCTAAACCCCCAAACCCTAAGCCCTAAACCCCTAAACCCTAAACCCCTAAACCCTAAAACCTAGACTAACCCTAAACCCTGAACCCTAAACCCCTAAACGAAGCAACCGCACCCTCCGCTTGCAGTCACGGAGCGAAGTGGAGGCCATCAGTCAAGTTGCTGCCCTGCCCAAGAGTCCCCAAAGCCCTAAAACTTTAAAGCCCTAAAACCCTAAAGCCCTGGTTCAGGGTTTAGGGTTTAGGGTAAACCCTATAGAGCCCTAAAGCCCTAAAGTCAGTTCAGAAACTCGAGCAAGACTCCAGATGCATAGATGACTTCAGGTCTATATTTCCTAGTTAAGGGGATTTTTGGAAGGTCTTGGGCTTTCTTTCGCCTTTTTTGTCTGGGACCCTAAACCCTAAATCCTAAACCCTAAATCCTAAACCTTTGACGTGTCAAGGGAGATCTTGGGCGACTTTTGAGCTCTCGAGCTTCCCGGGGCTTTAGGGCTTTCGTGCTTTGAAGGTTGAGGGTTTAGGGGGTGTTGCATGTCCCATATATGTATATATATATATATCGATTTTTTTTGGGTGACCCATATAGAAATTTTGTGAAAACACACTTGGCTAAACTCCAAACCACACCCCCAAACCCTAGTAGCCAAACCGAAATAGAACCTGCATGCCAGGCCTTAAACGAGCATTTCAGCGTCTTCGCTTTGTACGGGTAGTGAAACTCCGTGGACAACCCGCCGGCGCTCCTGACGTTGCGGAGGGAGCTTTTTCGAGCCGCAGCCATCGGGTTTTTTTACAGTACAAGGTTTCGTAAGGATGCACAATGTTATTTTGTGTAGTGGTAAAGGAATTCTATCGGTAAAAATAGGTTACGAGGTTATACATGTTTCTACGGAGTTTGATGGGGGCTTTAAGTAGCAGGGGCCTTGGCAAACAGAGTTGAAAGAAGGGTGGGGGTGGGGATATATGACATCAAAATTGTATAGGGACTGCCAATGTAGACCCCCGGCTGGTTAGAGCCCCCTCCAGGAACAATGCTCCTAGTAAGCGTTGTAATGTTAAGGCCCGTGAAGGGGTCTACATCGATCAGCGGTGGCCATCAATGTCTCACTACTGTTGATGATAAAAATCCTGCATTTCCTTAAGGACCCTAAACATGGGAATTTTGGTATAGTCCTTATTATGGGTAATGCAGGATTATGATCATCAACCGTAGGTGTAGGTTTCAATTTATGGCTTCGGATTAAGTGTGCCGTTTGGGTTTGGCTGAGGGCTTCTTAGGTCTAAAACCCTAAACCCTAAAACCCCAAACCCTAAACCCTAAAACCCCAAACCCTAAAACTCTAAACCAAAAAACCCTAAACCCTAACGGCCGCAGAGCCTGACCTGGCCTCACGTACTCGAAGGCCTGCGCAGGAAGACCTCCATTGCCTTTCCCCAGGGGTTTTAGGGTTTGAAGTTTGGGATTTAGGGTTTAGGGTATAGGCATTTAGGGTTTAGGGTTTCGGGCTTGGGGTTGAGGGCTTTAGGGATGTTTAAGGTTGAAGGCTATCGGGATTTCTAAGACTTACAGAGTTTGTGTTTTCAAGACTTACAGAGTTTGTGTTTTGAGGGTCGGATCTTGAAACTCACTGAGATGCAAGTTAAATTGAAACCTCAATCCCAACGGTAGCAGCTCTTTCGTCCTAGCAGCTTTCTTTGCTTTTGCGGAGTTGGCTACAAATAATGTGCAAACCAGGCTGATACTGCTATTAATCAATGTTTCGGTGCTTTCGATGTTTCGAAGGTTGTAGATGTGCAAGAAGGCACGGTAATGTTCAGAGTTGCTGCATACTAGGCAGAAGCCCTGTAGTTATTGTAGGACTTTCAGCTTCTGAAAGTATGGTGGCTGGCAGCACGTGTGGCAACTGAAAGCACCCTAGCATTCCATGTGATGTATAGCTTCGTAATCAAGTGATCAAAGCGAAGAAGCGCTGGACTGCTACACATTGCCTAGACTGGAGCTCAACTGGAACGTGTAACATTCGCAGCATGCTCCTGCACAGAACATTTATCAGTAATGCCCGGCCTTAGCAGCAGTGATAGCACAAACGTGCTGCAAATTCACATTGCGCCAAATAGGAGCACAGCAGCGCATAAACAAAAACACGCAGAAAAGCAGCTTCATCACGAAGTTCATTCCACTTCAAGCATGTGGAGATTCCTTCCCCACACGCTAAGGTTAGTTCTCGCTTCCTGCCTACTTTCCGAGGTATATTGTGTATTACACTACAGTTGGATGAGGGTTGAAAGGCGAGAAGGGATAGCGTGAGCGATTATTGCGACCACTCTACTACGACCGAACTCCAGCCTGGGAGAAATAAGGACCCTGAAGGAAACACAGACAAACCCTGGACCGGGACCCTAAACCCTAAACCCCTAGACCCTAAACCCTATAAACCCAAAGCCTTGGCCCAAAGCCCCTAAAGCCTAAACCCGTAGGAGCTAAAGCCTTATATAATTACTCTTGCACAGGCATTTTCTCGTGAAGACCGGCAAACAAATATTGATAGCTGGGGGCTTAGGGGTTTAGGGTTTCGGAGTTTGGGTTTAGGGGGTAGGGTTTAGGGGTTTAGAGTTTAGGGCTTTAGGACTCAACAACCAACGCAGCCCTTTAGATGCCTGTCCCCAAAACAAACTCCTCCCAAGACGGAAGCTGCCATGGCCAGGTTGCATCCGTGGTTATTGAACGCCTGGCAGGGGTTGGCCGCAGGGATTCGAGGCTTTCACTCATACCACCGGGAGTAGATCTGTGGGCTGCCGCAACAACTGCAAATCCGCCGAATACTGCAACTTTGCTTCTTATACAAAACTGTTACTGCTTCATCAGCTCGCATCACACTGGTGTTTTAGTTTTTCTTGTTTCGCGTGTCTTTGTGGAATGTTGTTGTTGTTGTTGGTGGTGGTGGTGGTGGTGGCGGTGGTTGCGGCGGCGGTGGTGGTGGTGGTGGTGGGGCGGCGGCGGCGGCGGTGGGGGTGGTGGTGGTGGTGGGGGCGGCGCCTGCGGCGGTGGAGGGGGTGGGGTGGCGGTGGCGGTGGCGGCGGCAGCGGCGGTGGTGATGGTGGTGGTGGTGGTGGTGCTGCTGCTGCTGCTGCTGTGGTGGTGGTGGGTTTGGCGGTGTCGCGGTGTGGTGGGACGGTGGTGTGCTGGTGTGGTGGGGCCGGAGTGCCGTGGCGTCGTGGGGGGTGGTGGGAGTAGCAGCAGCAGCAGCAGTAACTACAAGTATGAGTCGCAGTGGGAGTCGGAGTCGGAGTAGCAGCATGGAGCAGGAGTAAGGAATAGACGTGGGCCCCCATGAACACCATAACAAGCGCTACTCTCTGACTCAACTAACAGCAGCTTCCTCAATCCCAAAAATAAACCCTATATGACCTTAATCGGAAACCCAAATCCCAGAGAGCCCAAAAAATCGCCCACAGGTGGCGCCTGAGCGCAGTCCACGAGTTGCTGCTCGCTCAGCCTCGGGGCTTTCCAGGTGCTGCGCATCTTGATGGCCAGGTGCGCCTGATGGATAGGTTGAAGAAAAGGCTCGAGGGGTTCTACCAAAGAGGTAATTAAGGTTATTTGTCTGGATAACTTTGGTAGCTCTGCTTATGATTACTTACCAGCCCATGTAATTCATGTACCTGTAACCTTACTTACTAAGTCCTAAGATCCTCGAAGTAGAGTTTAGAGGTTCAGGGTTAGGGATGCCCAAGCCTCGAGGGCCCAAGCACCTAAAAATCATTCTCTCCCCAATGCTGTTAACCTGCAAAATTTCTATCCTAAACCCACGCATTAGCGTTTAGGGTTTAGGGTTATCCTAAACCTGCGGTGGAAGAAAGTTCGCCGTACTCCTGCATGTTGCTCTTGAAGACCTTGCAATCCCCGTTCCCCCATTAAACTCCTCCACCCAGTCCTCCGTCCGGATCGTTATAGTAGAAAGTGTTCATTCCGGTGGCTTAATTCCTCTGCTAGCCAGGCCACGTAAAATATACTTGTCGGTACTCCGCGGCCTCCGCATAAAGGTATAAGCAGGTGCGACAAAACTTTATTCCTGTCGATGTACACTATGTACACCCTAAACCCTAAACCCCTAAACCCTATAAAGCCTAAACCCTAAACCCCTAAACCCATAAACCCTAAACCCTATAAGCCCTAAACCCTAACGGTATGAAGCTTTGAGGACCTGAGGACCCATCTTTGATGAGCCAGGCGCGCCTCAGGGCTCGCCGGGATCCCTGAAGTACCCTTTAACAGTGCCCTTACGGTACCTAATAACGGCCTTTAAGGGTCCAAGTACTCATTATTTAAGGACTTTGGGGCCTTTATGGGTACCCAAAACCATAAATAAGGACTACTTGGACCTTTAGGGGGCTTTTTTGGCCACGATAGAAGGTAGTTGGATGAGGGTAGGAGTCAGGGCTGCCGTATGGCTGATATACTGGCTTCAGGGTTGGTGCTTCTGAGGGTTGTTGGTTTAGGTTTCGGGGTTTCGCTGCGTGGGGTTCGAAGTTTGTCCAGGTGGGGCTGCTAAGAAGATTGTCATGCACGCGACTACTGCGGTTGGAAAAATTCTAAATCATGTTGATCTGTCTGGTTTGTAGGGGGCAGCGATGAGGTTTCAGAATCTAATGCTGTGGCAAGAGCCAGCTTCAATCCGCACCCCCTCATTTGCCGACGCCCAAACCTAAACCCTGCAACTTAAATCCTACAGCCCCCAAGGCTCAAAACAGCCAGAAGTGGAGGAGAGGGGGGGGGGGGGGTCAAAGCTTCTTGGTTCTGCTTTGGAGCTTGGGCCTACACCCTGAAGCCCATGTCGACTCTACCAATAGGCCCCTAAGTAGTTCCTTTTTGGGATTACCTTTTCGGATTCTAAAGACAAACCATCAAAAGTAACTACGTAAGGGCCTATGGGTAAAACTCTAAAGCTTGAAATCCGGTGGTGAAGTGCGTGAGCTGCCTCTAGGCAGCCCGCCGTGGAGAAAGCCCAGCAGCTACCACAGCTGCCCTGCACTTTGGGGTCATGTTCGTCTTTGCACTGGATACTGTTTTAGGTATAGCTGTATGCTTTAGTATCATACACCCTAAACCCTAGAAACCCCAAGCCCTAAACCTAGTTAGCCAATGTCATGTCTCCTCTTTTCGGATTCTTTTCATGGCATCTCGCGCAAGACTGGAGGATTATGCGCTGTAAGGGTTCAGTAGTTTTGCAGACTGAGGGGTCGAAACAAATCGGGGTCGAATGCATTCATGTAATTGAGGGTCTCTCTAATCACTACGTGGCAATAACATCTCCGCAGAATACCCCTAGCAGACTATATGCTATACTAATACTAATATATCGCAGAACCCGACTCTAATAACGACAGCTGCATTTGCCCCTGCCCTGCGGACTGTGTGGACTTGTTTGTACATACTTGAGGCTGCATTGTGCCTTGGGGAAAGGCTTGCCGGCAGATCATCCCATAACTTGCCAAACATTGGCATTGGGTCTTGTGGCCCTGACGCATCAACAATACAGGGGCCTTGAAAAATTAAACTTGTATTCCTTAACCCCTCAGGGCCTCAGTAGTGCAATCTGCGCCCTATTATCTCTATTGAGGCCCCTACAGCAACTTGCTCGATGCAAGACCCATAAATCTTGAAGCCCCTAAGGAGCAAGGCAGTGCGATTCAGGGCTTTGGCGACTAAGGGCGCGGCAAGCGCCGCAGTGGACAGTTGCGACTATGATATTCAATTTTTCTTGTGTACCCCTTAAAGCACCCACAATTATAAACCTGTAAACCGCAAGCTCATGAATCCTAAACATAGAAGCCTTACACAAGCCCTCGGCAAACCTTCGTGGAGATCGAGCTAAAGTCCCAACTCCTAAATCCCTGAACCCTAAACCCAAAAACACTGTTCCTGCGCTGATAAATATCAAGGAGGGAAAAATGTAAAACCTTCTAGTTCATAGTGGTTCCTTAAGTTAAGGAACAGGTCAAAAACAAGATTCAATTACCCATAAGGCCCCTAAGTAGTTCCTTAATGATTACCTTATAGCATTCTAAATACAAATCATCAAAAAGGAACTCCTTAGGGGCCTGTGGGTAAACCCGACCCGGACCCTAAAGAACCTAGATTTTTGGGTTCCTTGTTATGAATTCGTTATATAGGTCCTGAAAACGGTAGGTTATTTGGGGTTAAAGCCCACACCCTAACCCTACTCCAGAACCTAATCCTAAACCCTAAACCCTAAACCCAAAACCCTAAAGGCCCGCCTGGTTCTTCACTTCGGAGATGACTCCATAGGAGCGCCAGTCCTAGGGGTTCATCAGGGTTTGGGGTTTAGGGCTTTTAGGGTTTAGGGTTTAGGGTTTGGGGGTTAGGGGTTTGGGTTTTTAGGGTTTAGCGTTTAGGGTTTGGGTATTTTTTGATCACCTATCTTATGGTTAAGATTATGATCGTGTAAGAGGAACCTATAAGGTAACCTACATGTTAGGGTCAAGGCAAAGCATTCAACCCTTACCAAGGGCTGTTGCTAAGTTAGTCCTGAAGCCTAAAATCAGTAGGCACGAGTCCTAAAGCCAGCACCCAAAGTCCTATAGAAATCCGAAACACTCCCGCCTAAGAAGGCACTCTGACTAAGGATTTACGGTTTAGCTGTTGATATCACTGCTGGCCTGGCGGTGCGTGGTATCGGGGTATAAGGCTCACATGCAGAGAGATGTATCTGACTGGGTAGGTAGAGAGCTTGTGTCTTCAGCCTCGTATGCATCTTGCCATGATACCACTTCAGCTCCCTGGTGTCCTCTCATGTGTTGTCTTACTGCCTGCCCTGCATGTAGCAGTGCAGCGGAAGTAAACGGCATGGACAGCAGCTCACAGTCCCTGCCATTGCTTTACTCCACTGAGGCTGACTGGCGTGGTACCGGTGCTGGTCATTCTTGGTTTGTTGACAGCTAAGCTTCAACCTTGCAACCTACATTTCTAAAGACCATATCTTCGGCACGAAAGCGGTCTGGAAACAGGGGAGGGGGGTTCAAACAAGACAAGAACTGAAGCAGAAAGGGGCTTGAAATCTTCGACCCCCCATGTATGGAAGATGCTTCTTCAGGTCTTGGGTTCAGCCTGCAGAGTTTAGGCCTCTGGTTAGGGCTTAGGGTTTCGGGTTAGGGTTGAGGGATTAGGGTCCAGCGTTTAGGGTTTAGCGTTCAGGGTTCAGTGCTGAGTGCTGAGGATGAGGTTTCCACATTTTATTTATTTTGAAGAAGGTATTTGGAAGACCTCACAGATATCATACAAAACCGCCTTTAGAACAAGGTCTTTTTCAACTCCCGGCACCCTCAAACCCTAAACCCTAAACCCTTTCTGGGGCCCTAAACCCTAAACCCTAAACCCTTTTTGGGGCCCTAAACCCTAAACCCTAAACCCTAAACCCCTAAACCCTAAACCCTAAGCCAAGTAGCCATCTTCTTCTCCAGAGCCGAGTCGGGGACGGTCGGCGAAGGCATCTGGTAGGATGTCGAGCCTGGCTTTGAGAGTTGGGGATTCATGTGATAACAGGGTTTATAGGGGTTTAGGGTTTGAGGTTTAGGGTTTAGGGGTTTAGGGTTTAGGGTTTCAGGTTTAGGGTTTAAGGTTTAGGAGTTTAGGGTTTAGGGTTAAAGGTTTAGGGTTTAAGGAAAAGGATTTAGGGTTTCGGGTTTCGGATTCGGAATGTAAAAGGGGCTTCATTCACGGTTTAAATCTCGGGTTCCTAGGTCCTAGAAACCCCAACCCTACGTAGATCCTAAAGCCCATTTGCAACGGACCTCCTGCAGTAACAACGCTCTGTGGAACCATCTCAGAATACCTGCCAAATGCAAAAAGTCATGTAACACCGAGAACTTCAGGAAATTCTAAACCCGATCCACAAAACCATGAATCCTGATCCTACATACCACTAAAAACTGTGTAGATTTCGAAATCCTAAGCCTTTGAGAAGCAAATAAGTCCTAATCCCAGGATTAAACCCTATGAGCCCTTGAAGCCCCTCAGTTCTCAAACTCTAAACCCCACCTATCTTCACATCCCTTCACGTCCCTAAAACCCACACACACTTTACGACGTCCTGTACGCTGAGCACCGCACCGGTCGCCGAACATTTCTGTGGCGCCATCAGCACCTGCGACTCAAACTCCGCATCCGTCATGTCGGAGAACCTCAACACCGGCTTAGGGTTTAGGGGTTTAAGGGTTTAAGGGTTTAGGGTTTAGGGTTTGGGGGTTTCGGGGTTTAGGGTTTAAAAGTTTAGGGGTTTAGGGGTTTAGGGTTTAGGGGTTTAGGGTTTAGGGCCCCGTTCCCGTTTAGAAGGCAAGCAAAGACAGATTTTTTCGAGATCTCAGTCAACTTCTGCCTAGAGAAACCAAAACCAAAAAACAGAACCACGACTAGCCAAGGGCCTTTTGGTTCAGGGCTCTGTATTGGTTCTAAAGAAGTTCTATACCGGTTCGAGAAAGATGAACCTTTGAGGCCCCTTTTTCCATCGGGGTTGCAGGGTTGCTTTAGGATTTTCGGGGCTTGCTTGTTTTTTAACGCCAGGTTCCCACGTAGCCCCTTAAAGATAAGGGTACCCTTTTTCCTACTCTTCAGTTTCAACAAGTTAAAAGAGGGAACCCCAAAGGTTAAAAGGACAAAAGGCTACTGGGGAGCCTAAAATTTAAAATTTGTTGAGACATTAACATTTCAGGCCTAGGGTTGAGGTTTTACGTGCTAAGAGCTTTTGAACTAGAGTGGGGGTCTGCGGGGTTAGGGGCTTACCAGCAACCCCGCATGCACCCAACAGAGCCGTGATGGTCCTCGACGGAGGCTGCGGGGGTTGATGGACAGTGACATGTTCGGGCATTTGTGCCTCGACGTCTGTGTTCCGACTGCGTAGTCTCAGGTTTGATAACGCCCCTGTTTAGGGTTAGGGGTTAGGGTTTAGGGTTTTTGCGTAGGACTTGAGGAGAAAAACGAAGCACTACTCCAGGTGCAGGGTTCTAGACTTCAAAATGTTAAGTCGCGACGCCCGCGAGTCCCAATGCCCGACTCCTACACCTACGAGGTTGCCGAGTAGCCCCCTTCAGAATAAGGGTAACCTTTTTCCCACCACTCGGTGTTTCATAAGGGCAACTAGAAGGATAAAGGGCAAAAGGGTACTACTGCGGAACCTACCTGGATCCTTAAAGGTAGTGCCTTTTTGTTGGATGACTTATTTTATGGATAGGATCCGGTGTTCAGAAACTGAAATAATACTGAACAAAAAACCCTACATTTAAGGGTCTATAGGTCCAGTCTAGTAGCCTCACTCTCCCGATCTGAAGTCCGAGCCCGTCAACACGAAAGTTTATGGGGCCCTGCAGGCGGTGGATTGTGGTGCCTCTCACCCTAAACCCAAAGCCCCTAAACATCCCTAAACCCTAAACTGCCTTTTCGGTTATTCTAAGGCAGTAAACCAACGAAGGCACTGCGTTAAACCGTAAGCACTAAACCCTAAATTGCCCGAACCGCTGCTGCCAACGTCCACCCGTTGAGAACCGATGGTAGGTGGCTCAATAGACATTCGGTCAACGCCACTCCTTCCACCAACCGTAGATGACTTCAGCATTGAAAATGCCCTCGAGGCCATATTCTGGATGTTGGGACAAACCCCGAAATCTGCAGTGGGCACGCCTCTCGACATTGGGGGGTCCGTGTCTTAAGCATTTTGAAACCCCCCAAAACAGGCCCTAACCCCCTTCCACATGCTGACCAAAGCGCTGGTTCAAACCCATGTCCCAGGTGCGCTGCTCGTCGGAGTTGTGCTGTCCTAGTTTGCGACTCTTTTGCGCAGGTACGGCTCAGTGAGCCTTCGACTTTCTAATTTTCTTTGAGCGGTCTTGGGTTACGTTTTTTGAAGCTAAGCCCCGCTACCTTTACCAGTCAGCATAAGCCGGCTGACCAGGGATGCTCTAATCCTATAACCCTGCTCTTCACATAACCTCCCCAGCGGTCCCATGACCCTTCAGCGAGCCGCAATTAGTTGTTCAATGAAGCCCTAACCCTCCAGGTACCTATTTTCTAGGGCCCTAGGGGCTCTAGTACCCTATATGGTAGGTACCTGGGGGGTTAGGAAGGCTTTCGGATGTGCCGAACACTTTTCAGTGTTGATCAACTTTGCAGCGTGCTGCAAGTATCCAGAGTCTAGGACTTTGGCCAGCGATGTTCCGGGCTTGTTGCGAAAGTTTAATCGTCTAACCTTTGCACTTCTTCCGGGTGGCAGGGCTTTAGGGGGTTTAGGGTTTTGCTTTGGGGTCTACACAGATCGAATATGGTTTCGGGGTGGTACGGGTGAAGGCCTGTCAACAAAGAGCTGAACAAAGGACGACATGTGCATCCCCACGGAGTGGGTACAGAAACGAGAACTTCGATGAATGCTGACATATTATACGATGCTACGGAAATAATTACAAAGGGACTTCTGGCCTATAAAGTCTCAAGCAGCCAACGCCGTACAGACATGCACAATCCTGCGAAAGGAACGGTCTTAAAGCTGCAAAACAGCGGAGCAACATTGTCGATCGCGTTGGAAGCCTACCTGGAAGCTAAGGCCAAGGATTTAGGAGTCTCCCCTATTGCACTCCCAGGCCGGGAAAGGTGGTTTTTGGGGGGGCTTACTGTATGTTTATTTTTTAGCTTTGGGACTTTCTCGGGCTTATGGCTAAGCCCGTATATAGGGTTTAGGGTTCCATCCCTCGGCAAGCTGCGCACCGTCTCCATTGTCGCCTGGAAGTTGCTGAAACGCCTCGCTTCCTCGTCCTCGTCGGCATAGTCCCGGCGGAAGAAAGCCTTGAATCCTCGGAACGAAAAGCTTGATACAGGAAGCTTGCCAATGAGAACAGGGTTCGGCGGCACATTATATAACTATTGTAGTATCAGCATCTAAACCCTAAACCCTAAACCCCAGCTACGTATCCTTTCGACCCCTCAATGGTACTTCTTCAGTTTCCCTAAGGGAGCCCCCCCCAAAAGGTTCCGAAAACCAAAGCTGGCTAGGTCACAATTCGGGGGGGGGAGAGAGAGTGGAGCCTATGTTTGGCATCGACAAGGCTTGTGCATTGGTTGGGCCAGCTTGTTCTAAAAAGAAGGGGGCATTAACCTAGGGTTTGGGGGTTTAGGGGTTTAGAGTTTTAAGGTTTAGGGTTTTAAGGATTGGGTGCTGAGGGTATAGGGGTTTAGGGTTTCAAGCTTTAGGGTTTTAAGGAGGCCTAGGGTCTAGGGATTTAGGGTTTTAAGGTTTAGGGTTTTAAGGATTGAGTACTTAGGGTTTAGGGGTTTAGGGGGGCTTAGGGTTTAGGGGTTTAGGGGCTTTAAGGTTTGCAGGTTTAGGGTTTTAAGGATTGGGGGCTTAGGGTTTAGGGGTTTAATGGGTTAGGGTCTAGGGGTTGGCGTGACAGTCATTGCCTTCTGTTGGCAGGATACCCAGAAGCCCCAAACCATAACCTGAATCCTAAGCCCTTCAAAACTCACTAAACACTCAACTCATGTAAACTCCTTCTGAGAGGGTGCTGTACAAAGTAACGGGCTATACTTTCTCGGAATCCCGGGAATCACGGGCTGGGAGGAAAAGTCTGGCAGGCTGCAATCCTCTCTGAACCCTGCCTGTTTCCGTTTCGGGGACTCATCTAAAAGCCTGAGCAACAACTGTAGGTATGTTGGGCAACCCAGGGGAATTGTGATGCGAAGATATGCGAAATTATAAGCTGCAGCTAATCGATTAGTCTAATCTAAAAAAACTATGTACATCTATGTCAGTCTATGTGCTGTCAGATATGTTGGGCAACCCTCGCGAATTTTATGATGCTAAGTAGCCAGGCCGCCCCCCATGTTAGAGCCAAGTCTGACACTTGCGATATGCCCAAGCTCGACAGTCAAAAACGGCCCGCACACTTGTTCAGGGGTCGTCTAGATTAGGATTCGCTTTGGGATGTTCGAATTAGGTCAACTACCCATCCAACTGCCTGACTTCAAACAAAGTACAGGGACTAGGTTCACCAGTAACCCTCAACTAATAAGGCCACCCTTTTTCCGAATAATACTTTGTTCTAATAAGGAGACCCCAAATCAAAAAGGACAAAAGGGTGATACTCAGGAAGCTACGGAGGCTAGTCAAACTCACCCAGGCTCCGTCGAAAGCATTTCGCACCTCCTCTGCTGTCAGCGGTTTGCTGGCATCTGTCCAGGAAGCCTCGTCGAGAGAACCCTAAACCCTAAACCCGAACCCTAAACCCTAAACACCAACCCTAAACTTCCCTAAACCTAAACCCTAAACCCTAAAGCTGAACCCTAACCCTAAACCCTTAATCTTAAACCCTAAACCCTAAGCCGGGGGTTCTTTGCAAGCTCCGGGGGCTTAGGATCAACGCGTTTAGGGGAGCTGCAAAACATGGGCTGTTATTGTCGAGGAAACCTGTCATGACTACGGTTTACAGTTTAGGTTTAGGGGGAAAGGGCTTCAATGTATATAGGTTTACGGCTTAGGGTTTCGGGTTTCGGGGGGAGGGGCTTCAATGTAGATGCTCCTTAACTCGCACATGCGAGCTGCATTCGGCTGGCCTTCATGATTTAAGGTGCAGATGTTCTCCGTCGCGTTGTCCGGTGGACTTGTTGGAAGGAGTTCGGGTCTTCGGGTTTACAAGCCTCAATGAGTCTGTATACAGTCTATAGGGGGTTTATGGGGTACCCAGGGCTGATCGAGTTTAGGGATACCCATAGGCCCCTAAGTCTTTTTTGGGATCACCTTATAGGATTCGAAATATAAACCACAAAAAGGAACTACTTAGGGGCCTATGGGTAGTGCTACCCGTGTCAAGAGGTTTCAGCCCTCATCTCCCTGGCCACAAAACCTGCAACCGACAGCCGCTAGGTCTTGGCTGGTTGATCTCAAAGCACCCTGAGTACTTCTATGGGGGGGAATATTTACAATGACCGTCATTGATATAGGAGACCTACTTTCTACCCTGTAGGGTGCTTTGTGACTGCTGGTTCGGGCTGTTGGCCCTAGACTTTAGCCAATCCCTCAGACCGAGGCACACTGGCATAAATCCAAGTAGGTTATATCCCGAATCCCCGAATCCAAACGCACACCCGTGTCAATGTGGAAAACCCCCAAACCCCGGAAACCCTTCGTTTTGTCCTTTGGCTACAGGGCCAGCCGAGCAGCCACTGTTTTGGCCAGACAAAGCAGTAGCGCCGTCCGGCTACAGGCAGCCATGTCGAGGGAAGGATGCGGTATAAGGGCAGGGGCACAGAGCCTACGACTACTTCACGCCTGAGCCGAAAGGCAGCAGGGTTTAGGGATTTGGGTTTTTTTCCGGCTCGAAGCTGCATGGGGGTTTCCAAACAAAGAGGTTTGCAGGTACAGAATAATGAATAATATTCAAGAATCGAATTATACACAAGCCTTCCGGAATCCTAGCAGAGAGTTCGGAATCCAAAACGAACCCTGGACCGGAACCGGAAGCCCAAACTCTTAAATCATCCACAACCCCGAGCCCCATCGACCTTGAACACGAAACTCTAGACCTTAAACGTTTAGCAGGCCGTAGTTCCATTCCTAGCCGAGCCCAGCAAGGTTGAGGATTGTTTTACTTCAGACGCCCAGCCCGAAGGGTACCAGGAATTATTCATATTTCTGCATTTTTAAAGGTTCAAGATGCCCAATAATCAGGTACTCGGGTTTCGGAGAATGCTTATGTAGGTTGCTATTTTGGAGAGCATATTGATAAATTGGCGCTTGAAACCTCGCAGTGCTTGGGGCTTGGAATCTCCGCGGAACCCTTAGACAACCTGGGGCTTAGGGATTTTGGCAGCTTGGGGCTTTAGGGCTTGGGGCTTTAGGGATGTATGGGTGTACTTATAGCTTTACGGCCTCAGGATGCCAGGGTTTAGAGTTCAAGAAGTTGGGATGAGACCCATCCCACCGGGAGGGCTTCGGGTTTTTGACGGTTTACGGGCTCAAGGTCCAAGAGTCTCGGCTTTCGGGTCCCCGAAGCCTTTAACGGAAGCTGGTAACTGACTGGTAGGGGTCATGGCTTGTGGCGTTAGGCTTTGAATTCTCACATCAATCTTACGTCTCAAGAAGGTATACACCCTGAAATCATTAAAGCTAGAAAACTATCAAACACACACAACGCGAGGGAGCTAGAGCTTCCACCTCGCCAGTGACCATGACGTTTGGGTTGAAGACATTGATCTGCAAAAAGCGGCTCTTTGGTTCGTGCCCCTCATACAATGTTGTCCTTAACGGCAAAACCCTAGTTTGTTAAGGACTCTTGCAAGGAAGCCATAATCAGGAACCCTACAAACATGAGCTTCTCAGGCTGTCAAGGTTCGTGGTAGCGATCTATCACACAAAATCCTCCTAAATCTGCTTGCAATTGTGACGAGGATTGTATGACGCAAAACCGTCCGGTGAAGCAAAACCCCACGATGCGAAAAGAGGGAAGACTGTCGCTACGTTTGGAACCGCGGTCCATCGAGGTCATGGGGAATCAGTTTTAGACGAGGAACTTCAGGGGCCTGATTTTGGGCTTCGGGCTTTGGGGGCTTAGGGATTTAGGGTTTCCATATAAGGCGTGATGCTTCGGCGTCGGCGGAAATCGATCCTCTCCACTTCGGTAACACAAGCTCGTAGATGGTGCGTCCCCGCAGACAGCACCTGATTGATTGAATCGACGGATAACTCACGACAGAGTTCAGGGATCGTGTGCCGGATGCCACCAAATGCCAAACGAAGCTTCTCATCCACGAGGCCTCCAGACCATGAGCTGAGCAGACATGCTCAATGAATTGGCTCAGGGTGGCTGTCAGAGCCCCCTTGTTCAAATGGCCTTCGGGGCAATCCTGAACAGACATCCAGCCCAGAAGTGTTTTTGTAATACGTTTGGTAATGAAGTTCACCTTCTTGGGCACCTGAGTGCCAAAGGCTTGTTGTGGAACAGCGGCCTAGGAGGATCCATGTAAAGCCTCAGAGAACCGAGCAACTTTAAAGCCTAAACCCCTAAGCCCAAACCCTAAACCGTAACCCCTAAACACCTAAAGCCCTAAACCCTAAACCCACCCCCAAAACCCTCATCCTCCATGGAGCTAGAGATACCCAAAAGACCCGACACCCCTTAACTGCAGAAGCCTCAAGACATATGTACACCACTACTAGTAACCCGATAAGACGCCTTGTGGATCTGTCTGCATACCGGTGAGAACGCCAAAAGCGCGTTTCTACAAGCCATCCTCCGAACTTGACTTCCACTTATGTGACGGTTACTTCAGGGTTCGCGTTTGGGGTTCAGAATTTAGGGTTCGTTTAATGTTCATTGAAGGGCTCCACACGGGTTTTGCAAGGGATGTAGGGTTTAGGGCTCTACCTGCAACCCCAAACTCTAGGAAAAAGTCTGTAATGGGTTTAGGGTCTGGGAGTCTAGGGTTTAGGGTTTGAGATAGGGTTTGGGGTTTAGAGTGTAGGGCTGCATCCTTATACTGATTGAGAACTTCTCTCCTACAGCGTGAAGGAGGCGTCAGCAGGAAGAGGCCGATGTGGCCCCGATAGCCTATAAGTGTTATCCTTGCTTGACTACATCCGCAAACACAACTCGGATCCTAAATCATGGCCCCTCAGAACCTAAATATCTAAGCGCAAAACCTAAACGCAAACCTTATTAGAACCGACTGCTCAATTTACTCAGCACACCGCGAAGTGAAAACATGCGCAAGGTTACAACTGAGGAACTGACTTAAAGAGCTTTCTTGTTATTGCTGCTTAGGGTCTTGGGTTTATATAGTTACTTGGTAAACACCTCAAGCCTTTGGCGTCAACATAACCCACTGCACTTGTAAGCCTGAAGGACTGCGAACATCGCAAAATCCACATCCTGGCCTAAACCCCAATCCGTCCGTGTAGTGTAGTGGCTTCTGTGGAAGCTGCCCTACCCTAAACCCTAAAGGCCCTAAACCCGTGGCTTGTGAAAGCTGCCCTAATTGCCCTAAACCCTGAACCCTTAAATAACGAACACAAGACACAACAGTCGGATCTTAACTGTAGAGCCGCTGTTTGAAAAGGATCCCGTCCCGTATGTGCCTCGGACACCGCGTCCGTCTCCCCGCAAGTACCATTCAATGGCACAGCCTTCATTCAGAATCAATGCACCAAGTACGAACTAAAACGAAAAACCTAGGGCCTAGCCGGAAACCAGCTTCAGACACTATGACAAAACCCACAAACAAATGATGGTTAAATGATGACTAAAGAAACCCTACCCAAATGATAAGTAAATTTAAATGGTAAACTTACTTAAATGTATGCACCCCGTGTCTACAGCCAAAAAAATCTCTTAAACCTAGGCCCTAGCAATCCTAGAACAGAACCCTTGACTCAAAGCCCCCAAGACCCCACAGTCTAAAGCTCAGTCCAGCCTAAACCCTCAACCCCTACATCCTAAACCCACGCCACCCAAAAGCCCGAGAGCCTAAGACTCGAAAGCGCCAAACGCCTGAACTCAATTTCTGTGATGCGAACTTGCTCTCCAATTCCGTCGGAGGTTTTGTTTCTTCTTATGTAGTTCCTGTTTAAGTATACCATAATTGCAAGTCCATATTCTGAAATGCCTACGAAAGCTTGCTTAAACAACAGACTTTCTACAACGTGTAAGAAGACCTCGAACAACCCCCCCCCCCCCTCCCCCCCAAANNCTCCTAAGCTCCTAAACTCCTAAACTCCTAAACCCTAAACCCTAAACTCCTAAACTCCTAAACTCCCCCACCTGCAGTGAAACCCCGCCTGGATGGCATGGGAGGTCTGAAGGTCGAAGCCAAGAATGTCCATCTCACACCTGGGCTTGACAAATTTAGGGGTTCAGGATTCAGGGTTTAGGGGTTCAGGGTTTAGGGTTTAGGGGTTTAGGGCTTATAGGGTTTAGGGCTTATAGGGTTTAGGGTTTAGGGTTGATTTACATCCCACCAAGTGCTCCGAAACCCTGAAGTAGAGGGTTTTGGAGGGTTTAGGGTTTAGGAATGTGCATCTCGCACCTCGGCTTGAAAATGTTACTGGTTGGCCCTTTAAAGCCTCTTAGGGTCCTCTTAAGCCCAATAAGGGAACATATGAAAAGGAATGTCCATCTCACACCTCGGCTTGACCATTTTACTGGTTGGCCCTTTAAAGCCTCTGAAAAAATATTAGTAAATAGGGTCCTCTGGGAAGATATAAAACATCCCAAAGGGTTCAGGGTTGGGGTTTAGGGCCTCAGGGTTTAGGAATGTCCATCTCACACCTCGGCTTGAGAACCGTTCGGGCGTTCAATCGTTTGGGGGGAGGAGGTATTCACCTGCTTATGACCACCCACAGCCGTCGAAACGCCTAGACAATAGCTTCGAAGAGGTTTCTACCACCTGTAGCCCAAAACTGCCTACTTAAAGGAATGAGAAAGGATATCACAGTACCGTAATCAGTACGCATAAAGGAGCCGCCCGCGGGTCTCTTAAGGAACTTCACAGAGCACCCCGCGGTTTGGGGTTTAGGCCCCTCTCTGCTATGTCCAGGTCCCCACTTGCCCTTGCAAACGGGATCCGGCTAGCGCAATCCCCTAAGCGTCCATGTAAACAAATAGTATATACTTCGGTAGGGAACAGGTGTCATCGGAACCTACCCACCAAGAATCTGTTGAGTCAGAAGTATCTACTATAAACTACAATATAGTGGCACGTAGGTGAATTCTACGACAGTCATATACATTTGGCACCCCCTGGCGGCCCTATCATCTCTCTCTTCAGCTCTTGGTACCGTTGGCCTTCTCTGTCCCGTGGTGACTTGGTGGGATCTGAATAAAGTAGCACTGAGACCTAAACCATAAACCCTATATCCCTAATCCCTAATCCCTAATCCCTAAACCCTAAACCCCTAAACCCCTAAACCCTAAACCGTAAACCCTAAACCCTAAAACCCTAAACCGTAAACCCTAAACCCATAAAACACTAAACCGTAAACCCTAAACCCTAGATCCCTAAACCCCTAAACCCTAACCTAAGCCCGAAAGCCTGGAACCCGAACCAAGCTCTGAGCCAAGGCACCGGATGTTCTCCACGCATTCAAAGAGCTGCCCTCCCTCCACGCCCCGCACGCGCAGCTCCCCTGCCAGCATGTCTAGGTCCTGGAAGCGGGACTCTACATGCCTTTAAGGGTTTAGGGCTTAGGGTTTAGGGTTTAGGGAACCTTTACCCATA